CAGAATGAAGTTCTACAAGCTACCTTATTCTTTTAGGAGGCTGACATTTTTCCTGATGCGCCTGTAGAAGACAACCAGCTGGCAATTAGTTAAATTCTTTAAAGCCCAGGCAGGGTGAACACAGCTGGAAAACTACATCCCTACTACTAGAAGGTCTAGACACTAAGGCAGAAGTGTTAACCAGATTTCACAGCAACTTGTTGTCAGGTATTGTTCAAAAGACAAAGCTGATTTTCAACACATGTGGTGGCTATGTGAGTAAGCACAGTGGGGGAAGTTTCAGGTGTTATTTCAGAAGTATTAGGAATTGTTCTACCCTTTATGCCAATTTTTTCTATTAAACTATGTTAAAAGAGCTTTATACACTTGCCCAAGAAATTAATATTAAATGTGTTAACTACTGTGAGGATGATATTAGCAAATTATTGGAAAACAAGGCATCTATATACTATTAGCAACATATGGCCCCCATCTGCGGATACCTAAATCCGCAGATAGGGGCCACATCCATGCTAAACCGATTTTTCAGCAATCTTGGGGGACTCCCCAGGTTTGCAGAAAAATCTGAAATGTTCCAAAAATATATGGGAGGGTGTTAAATCCCCCAAAAAGTAAAATAGTGTTCTCTGTAAAAGCAGAGAATACTTTTTCCTTCCTCTGCATGGTGAAGCCCAGGAGCCATGGCAAGCCCGGTGACAGCTGTAATAAAATTTCATATCAAGGCCAGGGTAGCAGCAAAGCCACCCCAGGGGCTGCGCTGGGTTCACAGCTGCCAGCAAAGAACCTGGAGACCACACCGGGCCTAGTGAGATAGTGGAGGAGAGATAGGATCCCCTCCTGTGAGTCTCACAGGCCCCCATGTGTCCCAAATAATAAAAAGATGTAAGATGTAGTTATATTGGTTAGGTTAAATGTTATAAAACAGAAATAAGGTCAAGGGTGGGAAACACACTGGATTCTTATGTTATGCACTACAGAAAATGAAATAGGTAATGGTTAAATGTAACTACAATATATGTGTATTAAAGTCCATTATAAGAGATAGAAAACATAAATGGACTAAGAAAAAAGTCATTATACATCCATTTATTAAGTTATTGTTGTATAATCTATTATAACATTCTATGTTTCCTAAATGTAAAAGAAGTAGTGTTAGCCCAGTCTCTCTGTATTCAGTGACTTGTTTAATTGGCTCTAGTGGTGCTTAGATTCAAGGGGACGGGGGAATATGTGAGGAAGTAAAACCCATGTGAAAATCAGAAATATCCATCTGAAAATTTATCTACCTGAATAATAGTACCCTAATTATAGTTACAATGCCTTTGTAGGTAGGTAGGTAGGTAGGTAGGTAGGTAGGTAGGTAGAAAATTTATTGTATATGACCATTGGCCTTTACAACCCAAACATAATAAAAACATACATACAATGCAGATACAAATATTTAACATGTTTGTTTAAAATTTAATCAGCATTAAAATCAGATAATTTCTAGACTATATACAACGATGTATATCAGTTGTTTCAATGCCTTTGTATGTTCAATGTATTCGCCACTACTGTGCTGCAACACTTTTAAAGAATTAAAATACTGAACATAAAATATAAAGAAAGGGAAAAAAGGTTTACTGTTCACAATGGGGGGAAACGTTGCCAGGACCAAGGCATTCCCATCCCTTTAACCTGAGTCCCGCTCATGCAGGCAAGAAAGTTTACATATGTTTATTTTATAGTTGGTCTCCCATTGAGACTCAAGGTGGGTATAAGGATATAAAACAGTGCAATCAGGTGGTATAAAACTGCCTAAGAACAATGCAATAGGAGAAGGATTACAGCATTAGAACAAACATGAACAAACGTAAGGAAAGGTAGACCATAATATAGAAAGCATTTCTTTCACTTCTCTGCACTTTATGCTGTCTAGCTATATGCTAAAAGTGTCTGTCTACGCTATTAAGAGAGCCACTAAAAACAAGTCGCACTCAGCTGTTGCCACTGCCACCAGGGGCATCATTAGCTGGTTGGGCTATGCCAGCCAGCCCAAGGCCAAGAACACTGTCTGCTTGCCCAGGCACTTTGCTTGTGCTTTCCACCATGGCTGCAGAGCTGCTTGCCTCAGCATCCCACAGTATAAGGCATGGCCCCGGAGTATGCTAACATCTTTATGGCTGACTTGGAGTAACACTTCCTAAACTCCCATCCACTCATGCCCCTCATACCCCTCTGATACCTGCAATATATTGATGCCATTTTTTATCATCTAGACACATGGTAAAGAAGCCCTGGACATATTCCACCAGACATTTAACAACTTTCACCCCACCATCAACCTGACAATGCACCGATCTATGCAAGAAATACATTTTCTGAACACTACTTTAAAAATACACAAATACACAATGGACGCATAGATACCACCTTATACCAGAAACCTACTAACCAACAAACATACCCACATGCCTCCAGCTACCATCGAAAACATACTAAATGATCCATTGTATACAGCCAGGCTCTACGTTACATCCACATATGCTCCAATCCTACAGACAGAGATTTTCACCTGAGGGATCTACAGCAAACCTTTTTGGAACGAAAGTATCCACCTGATTAAGTAAAAAAACAGAAAGGTGGCCAGAGAAAAGCTGTTGCAAGACAGGCCCAAAAGAGACAATAACAGAATGCCACTAGTGGGCACATACAGCTCTCAACTCAAAACAGTTCAAAGCATCATCAGCAACTTACCACCTCTACTGGATAATGACAGTTCTCTTTCACAAGTGGGGGGGGGGCAAACCTTTTCTTGAGCACAGACAGCCCTCCAAACTCAAACAACTCCTCACCCACAATAATACAACATCGAATTTGAACATGGACACAGATACCAATAAACCCAGATGCCTTCTTTGCTGCCACATTTGATGTAACCTGCCCTGAGCCTGCCATGCGGGGAGGGTGGGATAAGTCAAATTAAATAAATAAATACACCCAGACAACACAATCACTGGACCTAACAACATCAAATACACCATCTCAGGCTCACATGCTCATATTTATTTATTTATTTATTTTTCCGATTTATGCCCCACCCTCCCCACCTAAGCAGGCTCAGGGCTTCTAACACTGTATATGCCATTAAATGGCAACAATGCCCTTTGGTTCTCTACATAGGGCAAACAGTTCAACTCTATGCCAAAGGACAAAAGGACACAACTCTGACATCAGGAATCACAAGACTGAGAAACCTGCAGGAGAACACTTCAGCATTCCAGGACATTCAATGTGTAACCTCAAAGTAGCTGTTTGATTGCAAAGGAACTTCAGGACCAGACTAGAAAGGGAAATTGCTGAGTTGAAAGTTACTACAACAATCAGAACAATGGAATCCCCAGAGCTTAACAGGGATACATATGCTAACTTTATTCAGCCCTTACATCTGAATTTTCACCAATCCCCCAGGAGGGCCATGCGTCCTCTTTATTTTATTTTATTTCTTATGTGGAATAATCGATTAGAATAGTAGATTGTAATGTAATGAATAGTGGAATGTAATGTACTTTGGAGTGGTAGATTGGAATGCATTTCTCTGGTCTTGGGACAGGCGAGATAACTCTATGCAGCCAACTGCCCCACTTCAAAGAAGAAGCTGCTGTAAGGTCGCCTCCATGCTTGAGAGGAGACGGATGGAGCATAATGGCGGGGTCTCGGTTAGTTACTCTCAGCATTCCACAATTAAGGATACATCTGCTCCACAATCTCCATGACTACTAGCACTTTATTATGGTTTTAGAATTGTTTTAATTGTAAGTTATGTTTTAATATAATTTATCTGTTTTTATGTAAGCTGCCCTGAGCTGGCTTTGACTGTGAGGACGGGGAAGAAATTCGAAAATAAATAAATGTTGACATATTTATTTCCCTATGTTTCTCTCCCCCCCCCCCAATTAAACCCAAACAAATGGTAACTATATAAACTAAACTTGTTATTCCTATCTGGTTCTTGAATCTGTTAAACAAGATGTTAAACATCTTCATTATGCTGTATGCTAATTTACTGCTCATCCTCTACCTATATGTATGGACTGGTAATTTCCTTCATTGTATCTGAAGAAGTGTGCATGCACACCTTGAAAAAAATTTTGTTGGTCTTAAAGGTGCCACTGGACTCAAACTTCGTTCTGTAGAAGGATGAAATCAAGCAATGTTTTATGTTTTTCCCATACTCTTGATTCTATAATGCACAGTGCAATTTTTCCTAGATACTTAGCCAATACTATCCTTAATGACGATATGCAGCATTTCTCCAATAGTCAAAGCTAGAACTACTCTTGATTCATCATTACATCAGAAAGGAAGGAAGAGGTTCCCAGTGTAATCTTCCTGTATCCCAGGGAGAATTCTGAATTCATTTAATGTAGTTAAATAATATCCTTTTTCACATAAAGTAATTTTTGTTCTTTATTTGGCTTCTTTCCATTCCTCCCCCCGTCCAGCCATACGCCAACTTGCACTTTCAAACATCTGTTCTTGGAATGCTTAGAGTACTAATTATGGAGCTGTGACCCAGATTAATACAACCAAGTAATATGTGTTTTTCCCATTATTGAGAGTCCTTGTAATTCACTCTGTTAATAATTATAAAGTAGAAAATGTTCATAAACCATGTGGGATTTGAAAAAGTACAGAGGCATGAACTCCCAATTGGTTTAGTCCATTGAAGTTGCAACAGAAAAACCAATGTACAAACATGAAATGCAAGACTCTTTAGAGTCTTTAGAATGCTTTTAACTCTTCTAATCTGAATATAAATGCAAACTGAAGAAGTGAGATTAAAATGGCAAATCTCCAAAGAGCTACTTCAAGAACATAAATTTATTCCTAGTGAGTTTTAACAACACTTTAGACTCTTTGTAACACAGAATACACTAAGCAAACCAAACACATTTGTTTTAAAAGATGCTGAACATATAATTCAACATTCCATTATTAAATGAAATGCTTCTTACCATGGCTATGGGCTGTTCCTGGACTGAGTGATGGCTGGAATAGTTCTTTGGTTGGAGTAAGATACCCTTCTTTTCCCTGACGCTGGCTCATCTTTCCTGGAGTCAGCACATGAGACTCATCATTGTTTGTTACCACAGCTGAAAAACCAAACAAAAAATGTTCCCTCAGCATAAAGGTTTAAGCAGAAAACAGTAAGGCAACAGTAAGGCAGCAGTAAGGAGCTCTCTCGTTCAACAAGTAAATCTGTTGACCAGGAGCATATTTTTCATGCATACCATGCATGCTTTATTTTCAAATTCAATTTCTCCCCTTCTTCACTTAGCCAAGGAGACAAAGAAGCCTCTACAGGAGAGGCAGGCTTCACACTTCACGGTGTAAATTACTACTCCCTTTGCTCAAAGCATCCCAACCAATTACTACAATGCTAAAGAGACATGGAGCAAAGGGTCTTCTGTTGTGTTTAAGGTAAGCACGTGCCCTTCTTACGCTGCTTCAGCAACATCAGAAGACCTAGACCATAATGGAAACAATCACACTTCACTCCATTCCACTTACTTCTACTCCAGCACTGCCTTAACTCTACTCTTGGGTGATGTGATTCTGGCATGGAAAGGAGACTCCTCCCATATGATCTAGATCAGAGGTGTCAAACATGCGACCTATGGGCCGGATCAGGCCCGTAAGGCCCTGGCTGTTTCCTACTGCCATTTGCAGTTCTGCTGCTACAGCCATGTTACAGCTTGCTTTACCAGTCTCTCTCAATCGCGTAGGAGAGATTGATAACCAAGGCTCTCCTGTGCGACTGAGAGAGTCTGGTAAAGACCTGGCTGAGGCTCCTCCCCCTCCTCCTCCCAGGGGGAGGAAGGGAACAGCCAGAGCTTGCTTCCTGGCCAGGCTGCAGGAGACAAAGGGCAGCCTTTCTTTCCTTCCACGGTTTGAGACTCCTCCCTGAAGGGAGGAAGGGAAGGAAGGACAGCTTGCTTTGCTGGGCTGCCTCAATCACATGGGAGAAATACCAAGCACCTTCAAGACCAACAAAGTTTTTTTCAAGGTATGAGCTTTTCTGTGCCTTGCTACAGTGTGTGCGTTTCTTGTTGGGTTCATTATGCCAGGGCTCTCCTGAGTGCAACTGGGTTCCCTCCCCCTTTTTATTGTATTCATGCCCTCATGATCCAGTCTTTCTCAGTAAGAAAGCAATGTGAACAGTGAGGTGGGTTAGACTGAGAGTGTGTGTCCAGACCAAGTTCACCCACTTTGTAGGAAGGTGTAGTTATTTATCTGGGGAAGAGTATAGTTTTGTAGACTGTCTGTATTAGGATGCCTTTCATGTTCTTGCCAGCACATGAAGCAACTTATATACAAAAGGTTGCAATGCCCAGCCATTTCATGTTTCCCCCTGGATCCTAGGCTAAGAACACTGAGCATGAGATTTCTATAACAAATGTCAATAAATCAAAAGTAGGTTTGCAACTTATAGATACACGCCTGAACCAGCATATTCAAGATTGATACAGCACAGACATTTTAATGCAATAATTCAGAGCAAAGGTGTCAGTTATCAGAGACAAAATATTGCAAGAGTGCTAGTGTTTTAAGCATGTTTTATTTACGGTTTAAAAAATCTTTAATTGTGCTTGTCGGTGTCCTTTATAAAGTTTATATCTCTGGTACCTGACATTAGACACATGGCCCGGCCCAACAAGGTTCCCAGTATTAGTTACTAGTATATGCGACACACACTGCAGTGGTGTCCATAATACTAAAGTTACATCAAAAGAATTTTTCTTCATAAAGCATCCAAGTTCTGTGAAATACCGTGAAATCGTTGAACCTGGATGATCAAGTTTACTTTTTAAAATCAAACTCAGAGAGCAGTTTGGTGTAGTGGTTAAGTGCGCGGACTCTAATCTGGGAGAACCGGGTTTGATTCCCCACTCCTCCACTTACACCCAGCTGGATGACCTTGGGCAAGCCATAGTTCTGATAAGAGCTGTTCTTGAAAAAGAGCAGTTTCTGTCAAGAGCTCTCTCAGCCCCACCTACCTCACAGGGTGTCTGCTGTGGGAAGGGGAAGGGAAAGGAGTTTGTAAGCCGCTCTGAGACACCTTTGGGTAGTGAAGGGCGGGGTATAAATCCCATCTCTTCTTCTTCTTAACACAGCATTTTAGAGTCCTCATTACAGCTTTAAAACAGTTTTTCCTCAACACTTTTAAAATGGAACCTTCTCAAAGGAAAACTTCCAATTTACAACATAACTGTACTTTTTCAGTTGTCGAAGATGCAGAACAGTCTTGCTATACCTGTAAGTATCTTGATTAATGATCTGGCTAAGAAAACTTCCTAGAAACCTTTACAGATACAATACAATAAAGTTTACAGAGCTGCCAGTGCTTCTGCACTAGCTATGATTTACTCCATTTTAATGGAGAACTCTGAAAACTTTGCAACAACTGTTTCCCCATGAATTTGTGCCAGTGTTTTAAAACACAAAATGCAGTTGCAGCACCAGGCTGACACAGAGAATCAAAGAGCTATTGAAGTTTCTCAGTAGGTGCTCCAAACCCTTCAAATTTCCCTCCTTTCCTTAACTTGGGAGAGGCAAAATCAAAACAGAAGCGTAGTGGCACTTAAAAGACAGTATCTTATTCCAACATGAGATTTCATGAGTCAAAGCTCACTTCCTCTGGAATTATCTGGGGTGACAGCCTACAAATCTATTAAATAAATAATCTCCTCCTGTCTGTCTCCTTCAGCCAATCAAGGTATCCATGAATCAATGGTTAATTATCAGTTTAGTTTTCAGATGATACACAGGTTGAGATTAAGCACTGCTTTTCACTTGTCAGGCAAAGTCACTCTCATTTAATGTTACGTGTATTTATTATTATTATTATTATTATTATTATCATTTTCATTTCTAGTACTATTACAAAATGAAGTAAATGAGCCGTAGCTTTTACTGATTAATGGCAGAACTTAATACCTGCCCCCTCTCAAAATACACACAGAGATGATTAGTAACTCATGCATGTCAGGAAAGAATAGGAAGTAATCAGCTCAGAAAACAAAAGAATATTAGGAAAATTGCAAGAGCAAGCAGAAGTTTTGCAGAACAATGTTCACAGTGGGAATTTGGCCCAGGGGAACAGGCTTTGATAGATTTTTATGAGGAATACAGCACCATATTTTGTGCAGTGTGGAGCCTCAGTTTCAGCTGTTTCTCAAAAAATATAGATGAGTAACATAAAACATATGTACATTCCTTAAATCTAATTTATTTTTATATATACACACACCCTACAGTTTTGAAATAATGCTATTTTTCTCCCCATATTTAATCAGTTAGGATTTAATGTCACAAAGAGTTGTAATGGTGGCTATTTTTTTCCACTTTATTCTTTTGCATTACAGAGGCTTATATCTTCCACAGTATAAAAGGGCCCTCTGGAGGCTTCACCATAGAACTGCAAGTTTCTTCAAGTTCCAAAGAGTTAGTATTATGTTTGATCTATACACACGAGAGAACGAGGTGGGAACACTAAGATGGCAAAATAGATGGAACCACTTCAGACTGCATGTGGAGGTTCATGTTTTGGAATGTTACCTGATGTTAAAAATCTCCCTGCAGAAAGAAAAACAGCACAGAAAGCAAAGAGTCAGGATAGAAGCAATGCTATTTTCAGTTTGCATGGAGTTGTTCATGTGCAAAAGCATTCAAAATAGGGGTGTGCAAAAACAAAATTCAGCCCGATTCAGATTTCGACGAATCAGGCAGAATCAATTTCGGCTGGCAGAAAGACTCCCGCATGTCAATTTCGGCAGTAAGAGCCCATTAGGGAGTCTTTCAGCCAGCTGAATGTCAATTTCAGCCCCATTATATCCTATGGGCCATTGAAGTCAATGGCGAAAACATAGGGTATATTCTGGGGGCTGGAGGGCACGGGGTTTGAGGGAGAGGCTCCAAACTCACAGGGTAGCTGCTGGAGCCTCTCCCCAAGATACCTACCAAGTTTCAAGAACATTGGACCAGGGGGTCCAATTCTATGGGCCCCTGAACAGGTTGCCCCCATCCCCTCCATTGTTCTCTATGGTGGGGAAAAAGTAACTTCAGCAGCAAGCCGATTCAGATCAGAGAATCTGAATCGGCCTGCAGCCGCCCGAAAGGGGCCCGAATGGGCCATTTTCAGGGGTGCATTCGGTTCGCCGGTCCCTAATTCAAAGTTTGAATCCATCACCTGCAGTCTGATGTGGTAAAGCCCATTCTACTACCTCAGTCTTCCACATATGTCAACTAGGATCAAGTTTTTAACATGCCATAAGACTCCTGTGATTTGTGTTGTAATAGGTTAACAAATTTATCGTGGGACAAACATTCATAGATGAAAGCCCAACTCATTAGGTGTGTAACATGTATCCTTAATTAGAACACATACACACAAACAGAGGAATAGAAGAAAAATGTGAACAAGTGGGGTTGAAAAGGCCATAAATCACAAGTACAATCACATTTTTCTTTTCTTTGCAAAGCTCAAATATATACAAGATACGAATGGTCATGTTGCTTATAATATATAAGTGAGCTTTGCACAGAAGTATCATGTAATGAGCTTTTTGCATTTGGGGGTCTATTGACTCCACTGTTACCAATTATTTTCTGTGCCTACCTAAATAAATCTTTCAACAATATCCTTCACACATCTGTTGAAGCAGGTTCTAGCCTACAAACATCACAATAAAATCTGTTTCAGTTGTCCAAAAGCATAATTTTGCTTTATATTTGGTAAACATTACAGATATCTATATTAGAAAAATCTAACACAACACAATACATTCAATAACTAGAGAAACTATTAATGCTTCCACACAAGGAAACAAAGGAAATCTCTTTGGAATTTGGAAGTTCTGACCTACTAGTGTGGACAGTGCCCATATATGATGACTGAAGCCAAAGGGGGGTTTGTCCAATAAGACCCGGTCATCTGGGAACTTTGTATTCCCTTGCTCTACTTTTTTTAAGCCCCAGTTACAGAGGACATACCACCTTCATAATTTTGGCAGTCCTCAGATGTGATCAATAACCTACACAAACTAAAGAGGAGCACACCAAATGAGGGACAAGTTTTTCATGCACCAGTTAT